AATTTTTGGTATGTCTTCTGGGGCAATATCGAAGAAATGCCTGATATATTCTGAAGTAATCGCATTCGCGAACCGCTCAAGATATAAGAGTTGACCGCCACAAACATTCCATACATAAGAGAGAAATTTATTGAAATAAGCTTGGGTACATCAATCTTGATGTTTTTAGACAAATTGAGTTTATACAACATTATCAACTCATTAACACAGGTTACACACAGAATAATCATCCACAGAATGTAACGCGGTTTAGAAATTTCAAAAGACAAAGTCTTAATCCTGTATGGAAATAATCCGAGAATTTTGCTTATGGTAAAATTGAGATACATCAAAGATTGAAAATCAGTAGCATGGAACAATTTGCACTTTCTTCCTTTCGTTTTAATCCTTGACTTGACTTTGAAATTTCTACGACAAATTAAAAGTAATTAACAAACTTTCGTAAGAGAACAGTAATCCAATATATTAATAATGATTACGCTATTTAAATTGATTAAGTATACTTTATCATTTTTATACACTGTAATGTTAATACAATCCAGAAACTTCTAACTATAGTCTTGAATTTAGAACTTTCCACTACAAATATATTTAAATTGGTTGATATACACTAGTTTTATCTGTTTTTATGTACTCCGATTGAATTAAATTAAATTTAAAGCAGCAGATAGTTTTGTACGTTGTGTAGCAAGTCGTGACTAAAGAGCCATTTGTTAGCTATACGAAGTGTCATAACGACGATACCTTTTGATCGTCATTTATGAATTTTTAGAATATAAGGACACGTAATAAAGTATTTTCTAATATACGGATTATCATTTAGTACATCTAAACTGGGAGTAATATGGAAACCAGAAGGCCTCAATTTTACATAAAATTATTCTATTTAGTTAAATTAGCATACTTGATATTTTTACCACAATATCGATATTTTTTTCTCCATTAATAGGATAACAATTTTAATATTTAGTAATTTTAATCCATAATGCATGCTGTATTATTGTAGCTTTTAATATAAAATATTTGTACATATTCAATCAAAATTATATCCATATACATTTTCCTATCATAATTTGTAATGATAATTGAAAATAACAATATCTAATTTGTAATAAATTGGATTTTATTTGTACATAAATTTTACACATTAAAATATTATTAAGTTGTACAGTGCGCATTTTACAAGCACTAATATCGCAATAAAAACTGTAAGTAGGTCATTCGATAAGTCCGTGAAAAATCTGAGATATGGCATTATTAGTACATATCGGGATTATCTTTAATATCCGGAAACTCTTGGAAGATTATACACCAAATATCAGTGACATAAATCTGTTACTCTGTATTTGGCGTTTAAATCGATCAAGTGTCGTGGTTTTGTGTAGTTTGAATTACGCTACAAAGTCCTTCCGCATCCTCTCTATTTTCCAAATTTGGAAATTTGTAGTATAAGTCGAACGATTTTGCGAACATACTACACGAAATTCTTTTTGATTTCTTTTTCGCAAATCACGGTACTTAATCAATTCAAATGTAAGTATTCAAATGTGTGTATTAAGTCAAATATAAAGTAATAAATCTATCTCATTGAAATTTGGCCTGTAATTTTCCAAAAGTTATCGAATATTAAAAGTAATTTCGATATGTACTGGTGGTGTCATATTAAACTTTACACGAACTTATTGAACGACCCACGTATGTAATAAACATAATGTTAAAAAATCATGTTATTATGCAAAATGGATAATATTACTGGTTGTTGTATTTTAAAGGACATCACAACAATTACCTTGATTTTGACATGTATTTTCAAGGTCATGAGCCCAAGTTACCTTACCAACGTATGTCAAAATCAAGATCACCTCCCATAGATTTTAGGTGATGGTCATTCTTCGTCAAGAAGTTATTAACAAGAAAAGTTTAACATATTTTAAGGTCAAAGTCATCTACGCGGTGGCCCTTAAAGTACATAATTACCGTATCACTTTAATTAGAATTAATCTAATTGTTATATTTTAAAAGAATGCAGTTTTATGACGTTAATACATTTTAAAAATAATAAAATATTAAAAATTTGTTTACAATATATATTATATACATATATAATAGAGAATTTTCAAATAATTTTTCTGTATGCATGTATATACAGATAAGCTTCTGGACAAACGTAAAACATGATGTGATAATTTAATGTCACAATAATAAAAAAGAAAGTATTCTAAAAAAAAGAAAAAAGAAAAAGAGAGATTTTCTCTCTTTCTTTCTATTATATATCTGCTTTTAATTAAGTCATTTCGATATTGCTTGCAGTTTTTCCATCGCAAGAATGTGCCATGATCATAAATTGTGTCAAAATTAATATGTACGTAGTAACGCTACCCGTCATCTGAAAATAAAGAAAAGAAATAGTATTTATTTTATTAGAGCAAATGATTTATTACTTACCGCAGCAAGAAGTGTCGCGTTCATAGAAAAACCTTTCGTGGAAAGTGTATTTTTACAATGCATTATTTGCAGAGAAAATAGGTATAACTGCAATGTTAGGTCGTGAAATAAAGAATTGGAATACATAATTATATGAACTAAGTAGATTAATGTATATAAAATCAGTATAGGATATTTTTATAGCAGAAAATATACCATTACATTTTACCTACCTCTTCTTTGATTTGTTCATTGGTGGCGTGGTTAAGTACATCATGAATAGTGGTACTAATCTCTAATACTTGATTCTTGTTGGTTTCGCAAGTCCAAACTATCAATATTATCTTTAAGACTTCGTACCCCATAGACATTAAGAAGTGTATGTCACTCATCTTATCATCCAGAATGAAGGACAGCCCATCTCGCCATTGTATCAAATGTTTATACAATTCGAAAGTGATTTCAGTAAAGGTCACGGCTAAAGTAGCAAGAAGCTGTGGACTAAAAGTTATATTCAACATTTTTACTGTATTGCTAAGCGTTAAATGCTGTTTTTTCAGGATCCTGAGTTCTATTAACAGAAACTGACTCCTTTGCATATGGCAAATTAAACTGGGAACATATGGCTTTATATCATTTTCCATAATCCTTTGCATATGCATCAGATTGTTGTTGATTCTCTTGAAACAGTCCTTCAATATATAAACGCAATTTATATATTGCATATTCATACTAAAGACTACCAGAAGCATATACGTTGATAACAAAGAAAAAATAGAATAGTCATGTATTTTGTAATAATACGTGCATATCTGCATTATGATTAAGAAAGAAGTACCGAATATATCCTTTACATGGATCCATCTAGACAGCTTCTGATACGATTCCGGAGGTAGATACGAAGAACTCTCCAGCATGGCAAGTAGCACGCGGATTCTTGGATTGTTTAAAATATATGTAATAAATATTATGAAACCGCCGGTTATAAAGAAAGAGGTAACTTCAATAGTTCTTATTATGCCTCCAAAGTTGATTGCTTCAGTATTAATAATTTGATGGAGACATATCAGATCGATAATGCAGATGACACAAATAAAAAGAGTTGACAAAATGTAACGCTGTCTAGAAGTCTCGATAGTCGAAGCATTGATCCTATATGGAAATAATCCGAGGATGTAGCAAAAGACGAAATTAGGGTACATCAAAGACTGAAAGTCTGTGGCGTGAAATAGCTGCCACCTTTTCCACATTTTATCCTCGGTTTATTTTTGGAACAATGAGCTAAACATCGTCGAAGTATTATGGAGAATAGTTTAAATAATAAGTGACAATCTAAGTTTATTAATCACATTATGCACTTTAGCATTTATGCAAGTTTGCGAAAGCTCTATTATAAATATACAACTATTCAACCAATCTTTCAATGATAAATGCTTATAAAATTATATGCTCATTTGATATGCACTCCTTATTGAATTTATACTTAATGATTTTCAATTTAAAACCGCAAGCAATTGCTAAGTCAAATAGCCAGACAGAACTGAAGAAGTCGTATGTGAGGCGTAAAATATCATAGCAGTCATCGATCGGTAAATATTATTTAAAATTGCTACTTATAAAATAATAATGTGAAATTGCTATTACACATGCAATTCATATATGTGCAGATAATGACAGCAAATACTGGGTGCATTACGTTTATATGCTTATAAAGTTCTTAAAAATTCACTATGATAGGCATAACAACTATCTAATTCTCTCTCTCTAAATTTCATAAAGGATACTTTTATGTTATGATTTCTACAGATATTTTACATTTTATTTTATATAATATATAAAAAATGTAACTTATTATAAAATATTGATGTGCACTTCTCTTTACGGATAATATATTCTTATTAACATTTATTTTTTTACTTTAATTTGTATAGGAAAATATAATGTCTTCTTATGGATGGAAAATATAATGCCGTGTTAGATGGATTTTGCGCATTTGTCAAAACGTAATAATTTATACCTAATTTGTATATAATTATACATAAAAAACTTGTAAAACTGCATTTTGTGCATTTTCAGAAACAATGATGGTGAAATTTTAAAAATGAGGGAAACTTTATAATTTTGCAAGCAAACTGTTCAAAAGAAAAATTCTGTGGATTATTTGTATGGTCAATTGGATCAATTACAATAAAAGAAGTAGATTGCGCGTAAAGCAAGCGCATCAATTAGATTACCGAGGCCAAAAAATTTCGGCGCGCATTTAGGATCTACCATACATACGTAGTATATAAATTCACACGAAAATTATAAGAAGCTTCCAAGATCCAGCTTGACCTTAAATGGGCTTATTCTCATTGGTATTTAGTTTGAAACTCTCACGGTTTAAATAAGAGTTGATATTGTTTAAATGTTTCATTACATAGATATGTGTGTGTATATCTCTTTTAGATATAAAATACAAAGCAATTATATTCTAATTCTAACAATAAAAAAAATCCTTTTATAATACAAACCGCGCGTATTTATTGATTATATTTGTAAGTTTTGTGTGTTTATTTCTACTTTGTTTTATTAGATTATTCCTGTAATGCTGATTTTCCATTACAAGAATGCGATGTGATTAAGAATTGTATTAAAATTAACAAATACGTAGTGATACTGCCCATCATCTAAGAGAAAAATAAAAAATAAATATGTGTTTAATTATTTGACGGAAATAATTGAATACTTACCGCAGTAAGAAGCGTTGCATCCACAGTAAGGCCTTTCGCAGAGAATGCATTTTTTCGCTGCAGTATTTGCATAGAAAATTGTTCCAACTATAACATTATGTTAAATTAATAAAATTAATAAATAAAATTATAATAAATATAAAGTATTATAGGCAATATAATTATTAATTCAGTGATTTGACATATAAAATATACATTAGCATATCATACGGGATTTTTATAAATATGTACGTGTATAAATTAAATTAACTGTGTTGTACTCACCGCATTTTTTATCTGCTTATCGTTGGTACTGTTAAGTAGATCGTGAACGGTGATGCCAATCTTTGCAGCTTGATCTTTACCGTTATCGCAAGCCCATACTATCAATACTGTCTTTGTAATATAAAATATCACATTCAAGATGGGAAACCAGTACCGATAGTTTTCTTCTTTTTTGGCCATGGATACTACTATATAAAAGTACAGATGGAAAGTGATTTCAATGAAAGATATGACTATAGTAACGATGATATGTAAACTGAAAATCATGTTAAGCATCTGCACTGTGTCGCTGACCATCAAATGTTGTTTCTTCAGAGCTTTAAGTTTCATCAACAGAAATGAATTTTCTTGCTCGTGGTATATCCGTCTGAGTAGATGTGGCTTATCGTTCATTATTAGTTCCTGAATCTTCATCAAGTTATCGTTAATTTCATTAAAACAAATCTTTAATACACAAACGCAATTCATATACATCATGTCCATTTGAAACAACAACATAGTAAGGTATATTGTAAATATTGATAGCAAGATAAAAGGCATGTAAATGCAATATAATATTGATAAGATGGCAATAAGAATGAAACTGATGATATCCTTAACATGAATTAGTCTGGATAACTTTTGATACAATTCCGAGGATAATTCCGAAGAGATCTCTAATATCGTCTGTAGCAAGAGCAACCGTGGACGTCTCATGATATACGTGACAATCGCTGCGAAACTACCGAGCACATAATAACTGTGGCGCTCAAGAGAACTAGGTACGCTTCTGCTTATGATTGTTCCAGAAATATCCAGTTTATATATAATAATTATTCCATAAACGCAGAAAGCAAAAATAACAATGGTCGATAGAGTGTAACATGATTCTGAAGCTTCGAGATTCGAAGCATTGATCTTGTATGGAAATATTCCAAGAATGCGGCAGAAGGTGAAGCAAGGATACATCAAGGATTGAAAGTCCGTAGCGTAGAAGAGTTTCGTTTTTTGCATATTGCTGGTGACTTGCTTCTGCGGAATTTTAACAACAGAACTGCACATAAAATTTTACTGGAGAATAATAATTTAAATGCACGTAGCATAAACATTACTTAACACATCATCAATGTACATACTTCGTCATTAGTGTGAACGTTATTGTGGAAGTTTCTTCTATAAATGTGGCTTCGAAATTCATCTTTTAACGATTGCATAATTCCTTCTTTTCGATTTATACTTGATAAGTTTAACTTGAAAACTGCAATGAGTAGCAAGGAATGCTTCAGAAATCTTATGTTGGGCATGAAGTAACCATGGTGTTCTTCGATCTATACTTGTCACCTACAAAGTGAAGTAAAAAAGTAAAGTATATATAAAAAATTAATTGTTGCAACGTGCTGGCCATACATCAAATCTTGTAGACACGTTCAAAAGGGAAAACATAAATTATCCTACATTTATATGAATTAATGACTTTCAAAAATTGATTAATAACAATTCTTAACATATCATACATTTTTATTGTGCATATACAGAACGTTTCAGAATGTTTTTCAAAATGACCTAATATTTACAATTACACACACCCGCGCGCACGCGTATATACAATGGCATAATTTTCAATTAAAATATGCATTTGAATTTTCAATTAAATAAAAAATATTGTCAACTATATTTATTCTTTTTTATTTAATATATATTGGATCGTAATTGTAAATTATATTTTTGTAAATTTATTGAAATATAGTAAACTGTTTTAAAATTGTACATAATAATATTCACTAATAATAAATGTTAATATCACTAACATGTACTATGTTGTTATGAGAAATTGTAATATTGTAGGAGATGAAAAGCAAAGAGATATGTTAATAAATTGAGCATAAAAGGTAAAATTAATAATATTATTTTACAATTAAAATTAATTTATTTAAATATTTAAATGAAAAAGAATTGATATATATATATATATATA